TATATATATATAGCCTACCTATTACAATTTAAGTAATATAGGAGGACGATAAGGGTCTCACACATATGAAAAATACTAATATTTTTCTAACTTACTACAAAGTGACAAAAAGTTATAACGTGTGATCACATGCTAGAATGAAAATAATCTATAACATTATATAATTAGAATACTCATTTTCATAACTATTTTTTATTTTTACAATTAGTTGGACCAATATACCTTTAATATAATAATAATTTTTTTTATTTTTCGTATCATTTTGTCTTTCTTACTTAAATAATGTCACTTCTTACTCACTTTCTTAACTATATAACTATGGTTTGATTAAGATTTGAAAACTTCCCATGTAAATAAAAACTTTTGTTACATTTATATCGTAAACGAACATTTTTCATATAACTTTTCTCTCATCTTACTATTTTTAATATTGTTTATTTAATAGCAAAAGTATAATATTAATTATTTACCCTAGCAAAAAAATAAAAAAGGTGAAAAATATTTAAATTGATTGTGTTTTTCACCATCGACTGTTTTCATTGATAAATAACTTTTTTTTAAAAATTCATGTAGATAAACAACTTCTAGAAAGAATCCTCTTTGATCAATTACCTAGGATTTAATTTGTGTTTAAATGTGAACATTTGTGTGGGAGATTTACGATTGGAACCCGAATTGTTAGAAAAGTTACTCAATCTTTCTATTTGGCCCGTGTTTACTAGTTAGCTATAAATATTTATATATAAAGGTGATAAAATAATTTATAATCATTTTTTGTCTTTATTTTTTTTTAATAATTTTATCTTTAAATTTTTAAATAATATTATTAGTAATTTTTATTCTCATTACTCAAATAAATTAACCACCTCAAATTATTAACTATTTATTTTATTACTTAACTTCAATTCTTTTATTCTACTTTTAATATTGTAAATAAAATATAGAAGTACTACTAAGTACTGCTTATGAAGGTGCCTATGAAATAATAATAAATACAATGCACCAAGCATTGCTTATCAAGAAAACGCTAATACTTTTCTAACTTACTACTAAGTGATAAAGTGGGGTCACTTGGATGAAATGAAAATAATCTATAACATTATATAATAAGAATACTTATTTTAATAATTATTTTTAATTTTTACAATTAGTTGGACCAATGTATCTTTAATATAATAATCATTTTTATATTTTGTTTAGTTTTTGCATCATTTTGTCTTTTTTTCACTTATATAATGTCACTTCTTACTCACTTTCTTAACTATATAAACTACTTGTGTCTCGAATAAGATTTAAATACTTTCCATTTAAATAAAAAAACTTTTGCTACATTTATGTTACAAATGAAAAGTTTTCATATAAATTTTCTCTCATCTTATTATTTTTAATATCTTTTATTTAATAGTGAAAGCATGGTTTTACTTACCCTAATAAAAGAATAGAAAAGGTGAAAAAAAAATTAGATGATTTTATCCTTAAATATTTAAATAATAAAAGATAATATTAATTTCTTTTATTCTCACCTCCCGAATAAATTAATCACCTCAAATCATTATCAAACATCCATTTTATTACTTTTTCAAAGAAGGAGAAGTACTACTTATAAAAGTACCTATCAAGTAATATCAAATAGAATATACTAAGCATTGCATATTAAGGTGTCTATAGAAGTCACATGTAATCAAATTGAGATTCTCTCTATTTCTTTCTCCTCATTTTTTGTAATTTTAAGTGTATAAATTTCATTAGATGTTAATTACTTTTTTTGTGATTAACATTTAATATCATCTATACATCCAAAATTATAGAAATAAACGGAGAGAAAAAAATAGAAAAGATCCTAACTCTTTTTTTAATTAAAAATTATTCTTTATTTTTATAAGAAAAACCGTAAAAAAAAATACTTATGACTTTTATCCACCGACTCTTGGTCATAAATATTTCCGTGATTATTGTGGATTCTTTTTCTTCCACAACATTGTCCATAAAGCCCGTTTAGATTTCTCGATGTATAAGAGTTGCCGGGGAAGAAACTACCGTGCCTTTCCCTTGCAAATTTTATTTAACTTCAGAAGAAAAAAAAATCATAGCTAGTTCATTAATATCACAATCATGTATAACAAAAAGAAAATTGCGAAATGAAAAAAAGAAACCTCCTCACTAATTGCTTAACAACACATTCTTCACATCGACACCTTACCATGAAATTCAGTTTTGCATAGACGAATTTAACTAACGACTAAGCTCAATCATCATTACACAACAAATATAGACTTTTCCTTGTACACATTTTGAAACAAACCCCTTTGTAAGACCCAATCTTCAATCATTGCTTGAGAATTAACAGCTTGATCAGTAGGCAAAAGATGCCCAGCACCCAAAACCACAACATTAGTGAGAGATTTCCACTTTTGCACATACCCAACAACCTCTCCATTAACCCTCCATATCTTCCTTTCAGCATTCAGAAACTCCTCAATCCCTTCCCATTTCATTGTCTTCACCCAAACCTCTGTTTGAACCACACCATCCCTCAAATCATACTCACCTTGATATAACAACACCCTGCTCCTCCTCACCAAGTGCTCCACCATATACTTCACACTCTTCATCACATCAGCATGCAAAGCAGCCCCAACAACATCACTACACACCTCATACACAAACGACTCATTCACCCCCAAAGCCTTCTTCACCTCAGCAATGTTCAAGAATTTTTCAACCAAATCTTCCCTATAAGGAACTTTCCTTGTATAGTCATACAAAGTAGCCAACCCTGTCATGTCTTCCAACATTGTCAACACTTTGCTTCTCGCATCCGTTGCTTCACTCCAATTCCCCAATTGGGTCAACCTAACTGCTTCCAATTGAGCTTTCTCCAACACATTCTTTTGTCTCTCATTGATCAACCCAACATAATAAGCATTCAAAGCGTGAGTAGCAACTTGAGTCTCAGGGTCAGTTAACCCATCCCCAATAGCCACACCAGCCAAATTCACTCTTTCAGAAACCCCCAAGTTTGCATTTTTATTCAATATGTGATACCCAATAGCAGGCACATACTTCCCAGCATAGCTTTCCCCAGTAATATAAATGGGGCGATGCTTGAAAGCAGGGTCAAGTTGAACAAACCTGGTTATAGCAACAAAAAGGTGCTCTGCGACGGCGTTTTGATCCTTTGGAATCTCTTCTGGTGTTGCGGCGACGCTGAAGCCAGATCCAATGGGACTATCAAGAAAAAGAAGGCCAAAGATTCTGTTCCAAGCACCAGGGTTGGGTTGAAGGGTGAGGGATTCAGTGACACGCCAGGGTCCAAGTTCGTACAAGTTACCAAGCATGGAGGAGCAGCCAGGGCCACCTTGGAGCCAAATGAGAAGTGGGGTTTGAGAGAGGGGTAAAGTGGAGTTGTGTGCTTCATAGAAAGCGTAGAAAATTGAAGAAGTGGAAGTGGGGTTTATTGGAAGGTAACCATGCATAGTGGGGAGGGCTTGTTTGGGGAATGAAGGGGTTGAGAGTGGGAAAGAGGAACAGAAGCAGAGGAACAAAAGGGTGTTGAGGATGAAGGAGATTATTGACGCCATGGAAGCAGAGTAGTGTTTGACCGTCTGAGCTTCTTGTTTATCAATAGCAACGGATGAATAATAAAGAATGACAAAAGTCAAGTAATATACATTTACATATAATATAATTCTTATTTATATACATATTTATTTATTGAAGTAAAATTTTAACTTTGATTGAAAAATAAGTATTTAGTAATTGTATTTAAATTTTGTTTGATAAAGTATAGGTTAAAATTGGAAAAGATAAAAAGAAATAGAAAACATGTTACGCGAGGGCTATTTTATTTTATTTTATTTGTTTGTTTGTTTGTTGCCTTCCTCCTTCCTCTTCTTGATGCTATGCAGAGGAAAGGAAGCTAAGGTGCTTCCGGTTTAGGAAGAAACACGTGGAAAGCGTTTTCTCTTTTCAAATCTCATTATTATTTTTTCTCTTCTTTTTATACCTGTAAAACCAAAGTCATAGTTTTAGGAATTTCCGAATAGAGTTACTCAACTCATTTTTGTTAGATTCAGTTCTCTTCCATGGGATATGCAAATTGAGATTAAGTTGCAAGAAATGATGTAATCACAGTAAGATGTAAAACTTAGTACTACAACGATGGTCAATCCAACATTGTAGGATTATAAAGATGGTAATTTACAGGTTATATTTTTTTTTCTTTTATCTTATTTTTTAATTCATTTTATCCTTTATGTTTTAAAATATTTATTTTCATTATTTATTTCTTATATTTAAGTCAGTTTAATTTTTTTGGAATTTTTTGACTGATTTAAAATTTGGAATTAGTCTTATTAAATTCACTTATATCAAAGTTATTAAATATAATTAAAGTTTAAATTAAAATTATTTTATATATGATAAAAATTGAAATTTTCAAAAATTTTATTTTCATATTATTTTTTAAGTTATTCATAAAATATATTTACTGCTCATTCATCAAAGCATCAAACATGATAAGGGTACATAAAGTGTTATGTGTGAATGTATTACACAACTGTTGAGTCACATGTTAATTGAGGGTATTAATGTCTAGGTGAAACCAAAATGACATAAGAAATTAAAAGATAGTATTTATTTATTATTTTGTAATGTTAGTGACTATTATGATAGGATTTTGTAAAGGCATGAACCAAAATTCTACCTTACCAATTAGATATGTTTTTATGAAATTATTAATTATTTCGGTGTTTGAAACTGATGAGCATTATTACGTCATTCTCTCTATATAAAAGAGAATAGTTATTTTTTTATAGAAGCCTTTAACCAAAAATAAAAAAACCTTTCTAAAGACTTTTATTTAAAAAAAACATTTTTAAATGTTTTTTTTTATCACTTTTTAAATTTGTTATCTATTTTGATTTTTATTAATCATGTTTTATTTTTTTAATTAAAATTTAATTTTTAAAATTAATTATCAATAATTAAGAATTACTTTGTTTCGTAATATAAGCAAGCCCAAAAATACTATAGACAAAATAAAATAAAGGACACAAGTTTTTTTTTATATTGGTTCATTTTAATTATCAAGACTACGTCCAATTCTTGATCAATTTAATTAAAATTCACTGTCTTTTACAAGGATACAAGTATTCTGTCACAAGCCACATTTGACTCAATCTAAGTGTTCTTTGATTTTCCTTGTAATTCCCTACATGCTTTATTTCTTCCTTCTCATTTCCTTCTTTCTTCGCGCTACTCGCATCTCCGTCTTCCTTTTCTAGAGCTTATTTCATCTCATCTTGTTAGCTGATCGATAGTGATGGAGAGGACGTGCTCAAGCTTCTGAAGTTGAAATTATTGGCTCTCTCCCATTTCTCTTCTTCTCCGCAAGCTTCTTCTTCCTCGTTCATTTTGTGGTAGCTCAGAGTTCTTCCCCAAAGTTCTTGTTTAGGTCGGAACCTCGAAGATTTCAAATTCCAAGTTAGGGAAGCTTCATTTCCTTGTTTTCGTTGAAATGATGGAGCTTTGGGTGTGGATTTGGGTGAGAATAGCGGAATGTTGAAATGGTTTTTGAGGAGAAGTAGAAATGGAATGATTTTGAGTTGAATCTTTTATTGCATGTTGTAGTTCTTCGTATTTTCTGTGTTGTGGGTGAATGTTGTTGGCTGGATTATAGGTTGCATGTGTTGGGTTTTGATGAAAGTGTAGGATTTGATGAAAAATTGAAGGTTTTTTTTTTTCAATTTTCTAGGTGATTCACGGGTGTGACTGGTGAGTCACGGCCATGATCATCTCGGTCTTTATAATATTGTTGAGATAGAGCGTATCACAAGTGTGATGGTGAGTCACGACCGTGATTGACTCTGTTTGAGAATATTCACTCTTTGCTTTCGAAGGTTAAAGTGTTGATTAAATTTAAAGATTGATTTATAGTTGTAAGTTGCTATGTTGTTAAAGTTGTTAAAGGAGTTGTATAGTTGTATAGAAGTTGTTAAGTTGTGTGTTGCCTATTGTTGATGATTTTATGATGATGTTGTGATATATAAGTGGTTTATGCTATAAAGTTGTTAGAGTTGCTTATGGGAGTTGATTGAAAGTTGTTAAGTTGCATTAAGTTGTTTTAAAGTTATCAAGATGATTATTGTTGTAAAGTTGCATGAATGATGTTTATAGTTGTGGAGCTATTAAAGTTGATATTGTGATGACTATAGTTGCTCAAGTTGTTTCTTCAAGTTGATATTATGATGCCTATTGTTGTAAAGTTGTATAAAAATGTCTATTATTGTAAAGTTGTAAAGTTGGGGACATATGTTGAAGTTATATGTCCTATGTTGAGATACATAGTACTAAGGTGATAAGTTGAAAGTTATTTTTTTTTCTTAAGTTGGATCCCTTAGTACTATGTGGGCGGCATGGAAGTAGTCAATCCATGTTATGATTGAATGACCAATTTGAGTAAGGTATCTAGTTAGAGATGTAGCCTTTGACTAGGTACTAGAGGGTGTGTGGTACTTAGAGGGCGGTGGGTGGGCTAACTCCATATGTGGATTGGTGATGCAAGTTAAGGCCGTGGTAGGTCCACACCCAAACCCTTCTGCCCTGATAGTAGCACTAAACCTTCGAGTCTGAGTGGCACACCCGATCAATCAACTATTGTTGTCTATACCTAATTCTCTTTGGAGTTCCTAATGATGCCCTATACCTGGCCTAGTTAAGATAGGTCTAACGCTAGATTCGGTAGAGTTTATGCCACCTAGACTACTCAACCTTAGCTATTGGAGATCTCCTAATTGTATATGTGTGACGACGCATTAGTTGATGTTGCATGGATTTTGCCTATGTGGTTGTAGTTAAGTTGTATATTATGTTTAATGTGTTGAAAACGTTGTTGTTTTTAGTTGATGTTAAAAGATGAAAAGTTGAATTCTATTGTTGTTTATTGTATGTTGACGTTGTTTTATGATGTTTATTGTTGTTAGCTTACCCTAGCATGTTTTCCCTTGTGGTTGAGACTGCGATGACCATACCTATGCGAGTAGCTCAGGATTAGGTGCACTACTAGATTAGGTGAGCTTCTTTTTGGTTGAGACTTAGTAGGAGAATTGATATTTTGTTGAGTTGATTGGTAGCATTCGACTACCTAGTTGTTGTATAGGATATTATGTCATACTTTTAGTTGTATATATATATTATGGGACTTTTTAGTTGTGTATTCTCATTGTATAAATAATTGTTTAGTAATGATGTTTTATTTTATGCATGTATCTAGACATTATAGACGGTGTAGGACCTAGCAGGTCATTACATTCCTCCCCAAGTAAACTAGTTAAGTATTTTTTAAACAAGAAAATCTATCTAGATTTTAACACTAAGTATTATTTAAACAACAAAGCTTTTCAAGGTTTCAAGCTAAAACACACAGTTTAAGTTGGGTAAAGATAATCGAAAGTTTCATCTTATACACAAAATATGATAAAACTTTTGACTACACAAATTTATAGAGAAAAGAATGAATAAATCTAAAGCATTGATTATATCCGTTCTTTGTGAGGTTCAAGTTCCTTTATATAAGTGTATATGAAGATGATCATTATGAATCCTTGAGTGGCACTCATTGACTTGCTTTGTCTTACTTTGTTTTGCTTCCTCGCAAAGTTAGGTGTTTGTTGGTGCAATACACAAATGCATCAAATGTGTTTCACTAAATGGTCACTTCTTATTTGATCAAAGAGACAACTTATCACCTTTATGATAATAAAAGGGGGAAATTATTGCATGTGTTAGTTAAGAAATTCTTTTTGCAAACTTTGAGATATCTACTTTTTCTTATTCTGACAAAAAAGAAGTCATTCTTTCTTTAAGCATCATGAGTACCAAAGAAGATTTTATTCATTTGATATGTTAAAGAATATCTTGAAAGTAGAGGATAGAAACATCAAACATATTAAATGTGATATTTAAAGTATTTGTCTTACATAGACAAAGTGTTTAGTCCGAGAGCTTATCATATGCATTTCAAAAGTTCCTCAGTGTTATGCGAATAAGACTAATAATATCATCTTAAGCATATGATCTTAAGTTTTCTTTTTTGAAAATGTCTTAGTTTGTTAATATTAAAACTTAACTTTTGAGGGTTCCTAGATCGTTTTTTGATCTAATAGTGTATATTTATCTTATGAATGGAACAATTAGCTCATTTTATTGATCAAGAAGTACAAGGTAGAAACTAGAGACCTATGAAGCTTAGTAGGAATAACCCACTCATATATCACCTAGTGGCGGATCATTATGGAAGCAGGGGGGAGCCCCTCCCCCCATTTTGTGAACTTACTTATTTTCTTAATAAATAAATTACAACCCATTCACTAGAAAATGTTGTAACCTATAAGCCCAATACTAAATTAAAAGCCCACTTAAATTCTTTTAAAAAATCAAAATATTATAAAGGTTTAAATAGTGAATTACTTTATCACTTTTGAGTTATTGGAAATCACAAGTCATAAATTGCACAAAACATATTGTGTACGCTATAAATTTCTCGCAAGTCACTTTCGCTCCAATGTGGCATTGTTGTTTCTAATGTTCCGTTCAAACTTTTAAATTTAGAGTACATAAATATTATCTACTATTTTAGGCCCCCAAAAATAA